TGTTCATGGAGTATAAATCTCCTGGCATTGATTTGAACTCTGTTATAAGCCAGTCAAATGAAACTACAGAAATTTAATGTGAATTGATTTGGCATACAGTTGACTGTTACCTGAATGTGATTTTCAACATATAAAATCTATGGAGAAATTAAAGTAGAGCATTCACTTATGCTATGGCCTTCCCTGTCAATTTCCACAATGGACCAGAGAACTTTTGAAATAACAGAAAAAAAATATGCAAGTAATGAATGATTATTGGTAGGTTTTTATTTCTATCTCCATTGTCTATATTATTTATCCATTTATTAATATTTGGCACAGAGATATTGTACAAATATCCTGCCCTCAAAGGAATCTACCATCTGGTAGGGCAAAGGAGAACATGCCTGCAGGGTACCTTTGGAGAATGGAATCAGGGATTAACGAGCTATCAGATAGGACCTTATGGGGCATGGTTTCTAAGGTCATCAAGGTCTAGGGTCAGATAATCCGCTCTCCAAGTCCAGAGGCTGGGTTTGGGCAATATAACCACAGTTATTTGGGCTCAGGGAACTGACTTATGGTAGCCAGCCCCACAAGAGAATAAACCAGAATGCCGTTTGAAAATGTGTATTCAGAACTAGAATTAATAAGCGGATCAAGATGAATTCACTGGCTGTCTTTTCTCTCTAATTAGCAAGTCTAAATGGGGATCACATTATAAAAAAGTGGATTTTTGAGACTGGACTCAGAGCAGAGGCAATGATTTGGAAGACCTCTGTAACCGATGGTATTAAATGGTAACTTCTCATTGGTGCCAAGTCCAGCAATCCCGTAGTGGGTCACAGCCTGCTAGATCTCAGCCTTTCCTTTTAAAGATACTGAGAAAAGTGCTGTGGTCATGCAAACCCTTTTCTTTCTGATGGCCCATACTTTCTCCAGATGAATTGAAACCACTGACTAGCCTGTGTAGTTTTAGTGTTTAATTCAAATTTATTTAGAGTTCTAGGAATTTTTTCCTTTGACATATAAGTTCTGTCCAGAAAAAAGTCCAGCCATTGTTAATATAACAAGAACGGTTTGCATGACAGTGTAACCTGGCAGCCACGGAGCATGGACTGGAATGTGCGTTCATGAACAATGATGACTTCACTGTACTAGTCAGTAGGAGCAGTAGAAGCCATTGAGTGAGCATGTGTCCTGTGTGGATGTTCCATTAAAAATGACTGGGCAAGTAGAGCAACAAATTTGCATCAAATTTTGGGTTAAGCTTGAACATTCCTCCATGGAAACTATTCAGATGATTCAGAGGCTGCAGCTGTGGGCAACTGGTGATCAGCAGCTTCATCACAACAGTGTTCTGTCCTGACTCAGGCATCGTGTCTTGTGCAGAGTTTTTGGCAAAACATCAAATCACCCGCATGACTCAGCGCCCCCTACAGCTCAAATTTGGTGCCCTGCTACTTCTGGCTTTTCCCAAAACTAAAATCACCTTTGAAAGGGAAGAGATTTCAGACCATCAATGAGATTCAGGAAAATATGGCTGCACAGCTGGTAGTGACTGGGAGAACTGTGTGAGGTCCCAAGGGGCCCACTTTGAAAGGGATTGAAGCATGATTGTCCTACATACAATGTTTCCTGTATCTTCTTTAATAAAGGTCTCTTTTTGATATCACATGGCTGGATACCTTCTGGACAGACCTCACAGAACATATTTTCAGTTATAGCATTTAATGGATTTGTTTCCTTTTTATGTCTGCAAAAAGCTAATTTCATTTATTGTGTCTTGATTTTGCTCTTTTAACTTCCCAAGGGTAAACTTATCTCCAAGTTTCAAGTGTATTCAGCACAAGTACTGACACTCTTAGTAATCTTGAACAATTTAGCTTAAGCATCTTTGCCTCAGCATACATCTTCCTCATGTCCCCTCCTCCTCCCTGTTGGATTTAGACTCCCCTGCTCTTTCCTCTCATACCAGCCTGTGTGTCTGTGCTTTTTTCTCTCATATCCTTTTGTAATACTTATCACACTCTAATCAGTTATTTCCTCATCTTCCTCTGTCATCAGATGGTAAACTCTACATTTTATTTAACATGGTGTCTCCAATGCTAGTTCAGTGTTTGTTGGTAGAAAGTAAGGACCCGGTAGAAGGACAGAGGGTGGAAGTTTGGGAGAGATGGAGAGAGAGATGGATGGCGTGATATTTATGCTGAATCCTTAAGTGATCAGTAGACTATTCTTTGGTAAGAGGAGCCACTAAGGTCTATTCTCAAGGTCTAACAGACATTTATTTTCTTACTTGACCACACTTAGGACACCAACTGAATAGAGGGTGAATGTAAAAACCAGATTCCAGTTTGGTGTATTCCCTAAATCCTTCTCTCCTAATGTTACACTGTGTCACATTTTCATGAAAAATGGCAATATTCTCCAATACCTCAGTTAGGAGATGTTCCTAGTCTCTTATAGTCTTGTTTTAGTCTTGCTACTGTTATCTATTTCAGTATAACAAATCACCCCAAAGCCAGTAATTTTTTTGTTTCTCACAATTTTGAGGCTAACCTGGGTAGTTCTGCCTCTACAGGGGCTGGGATGCTTAAGATGACTTCCTCACTCACATTGAGGTACTTTGACCAGGATGGCTGGAATCAGCTAGAGGCTGGGGTGCATCTTTCTGTATATGGCTTCTCCATATGGGTAATTTTTCACAGCAGGGTAGTCTCAAGGTAGTAGATCTTTTAGTGTGCTGGTTGTCTTCCACAAAAGGAAGAATCAAGCTGCCAGTTCTCCTAAAATCTAGGTTTGGAACTGGCATGACATCACTTCTACCTCATTTTATTAGTGGAAGGCTGTCCAGATTCAAAAGGAGGGGAAATAGACTCCACCTTTTGGTGTGAGGAACAGCATGCACATATAGGGAAGGGCAGTAAGCATCTAAAAGAGGTGATCTACAACAGGTCTGTACAAAAAGAAATATATCTAAAAATAACATTTAAGCTAGATACATAATAAAGAACCATGTCTAATTTAAGTGACTGGTTTTGAAGAAATGCACTGTTTATTTGGATGAAGTCTCTGGAGGAATAAAGGAGCTCTGTGTGGTCAAAAAACTAAGCTTTATCAAAATCATAGTTAGGACTTGATCAGTAATGGAGTTAAGCCTAGCATTCTGGTATTGGTAGATGGTAATAAACACAGGGATAATTGGTTTAATTATGTTTAGTGCTCTCCCAATTGTTAAAGTCAAGTCTCTAATGATTTTTGCTTTCTTTTAAAACTGAAAACATAATGACACTTTGATCCATGAGAATAGAAAGATTCATTTTCTATTATTTTTCTCACCTTAAAGTGGTGTTTAGAAAAGTATCAACATTACTAAAGTTTCTTGCGTTGGTAATTCACTGGGAAAATTTTGTAATTCATTTTCCTTCCTCCTGATCCTGCAATGGGAAGTAGGCTGAAATGACCTTAATAGTTCTAATTCTTAACCCGAGCCATTTCATCAACATTTTTAAAGTATAGTCATTAGTTTCAAAAATCTTAATGGACCCAAATAATCAAGATAGGTCACAATAAGTGGGGATATTAAGAAGCATACACAATTTATTAAGCAATTTCCCTTTACTAATATTATACCTGATTCCTAACATTTTTGACAATCTTTTTGTAACTGATGTGTTACTTTGAAGTTTTCTGAATAGACTGCACCTCTGCAGTGCTAACTGTCACATATCTCTATGGTATTTCATGGGAACAGGTGTGTAATACAAGTCACCATTGGTTTGTGATATTTGCAAAGAAACCAAGACACCCAGGATCTTAAAAGCCCTCTTGGAGGTGAAATGAATTAATAATTCACCTGTGAAGGACTTTGCTGGAGAAGAGAGTTCCTTATTTTCCTTTCTTTATAATGAGAAAGTCTTATTCTATAAATAAGAGATAAAATTAATTTCAAAGATGGACACAGGGCAAGAAAAGAATAAGTATAGGTGACCTAGACACTACACAGAGAAAAGATGGGCAGGAAGTAAAATTATGTTATACACAAAATATATGCCCTGGGGTTCTCTACCTTTGCTTGATGGGGAGGGATCACAAATTTGACCCAAAGCTGCTTCTAACCAAAGGAAGAAGAGAAACAGCTGGGACAGGTGCTAGGCGATCCCAGTTTAGTAATTAGCCACAAAGAGCCAACAGGATAGATTCTGTTAGCAAAATGTTTTCATGTGTGTTGTTTATGATCTGTTAATAGTTCCAAGGATTATAGTCCATGGGAGAGAAAATCTAAAACATTCCTTTCTGAAGCCTGAGGCCCAGTTTCCTTTATTAACATTACTGTCCCTTACAAACAATGTCATTTGGGGTAGATATGCTTCCGCCTAAAGTCATGAGGTATTTTATTATTTAGAATAAGCATTTAAGCCTCATGAAACAAGAATAGTCCTAAGGTTCATAGGGGAGGTAGAAATCACAACTCGTGGAGTCAATCAACAAATACTGATTAAGGATCTTCTATCTGGTTGCCCTGTTCTTTGGCACTGAAGTTGTGGAGTAAACAACAGACATAAAAGACAATTAAGAGATAGATGGTGGTGATAGTTGCAGAGCAGTGTAAATGTGCAGTGTCACCACACTGTACACTTAAAAATGGTTACAATTGTAAATTTTATGACGAAAGACAGCTAAGGAAATTAAAAAGCCATATAAGAGGACTAGATCAAGCACTTGGGTGTCAGGAACTTTCTGAATGGGCCTTTACCTTGCCTTGGGGGAGTGGGAGGGCTCCATGGAGGGGTCATTGGGCCCCGATCTAGGAAGAAGCAGGGGCTATTACCCTGTATGGTTTTTGAACTTTAGGGTGTCAAATGGGATCTCTGGTGTGTGAGCTAAAGAGGAAGGTTGAAGCTACACTGGTTGGTAGAGAGTGAAGTGACTATCCATGCCAGGCCCTGCTGCACTTGGAGGCTGGCCCCTTTCCTTTTTCACTTAACCAAGTCCTTACCTGATGCTTTTCTTCACAGACGGCTATTCTGAGACGACAAGGTCGATACAGATGTTCCACAGTTCCTGCAAGTGCACAAGAGGAAGCACAGAGCTTGTTTGTTACAGAGGTAATGGGTTTCTTCTACATTAACTTATGTCATTTTAAATCTTTTTTTCTAATGCCTCCCCTTTTGCTTTAAATTTTAATGATGTTTTCAAGAAAGTGTCAGGTAATTATATTTTTTATAATGGAAGTTAAAATCACAGAAGAACGAAGTTTTCAGAATCTGAAACTTAGAAATGTCAACAGAGGACAAAACATGAATTCTACAGAACTTGTAAAATAAAGGGCAACTTGTGAATGAACTCACTGGGTGTAATGTCAGAGGCTTTGTTACTGATATTTTTTAATGGAGACTCAGCACACATATTTATGTATTCATTTACTTAATTTACAAGTTTATAGTTAGAACTTATTTTCAAGACTAGTTCAATGTCTATGAAGTGCCAGGTGAAAATGAGCTGAGCCTGACGGTCTCTGATCGAGCTTCTGATTACTGTTACTTTTGTTTGAACATACAAATGATTGTCATGAGGAAGAAAGAAAAGTTACTGCATTTAGATTGCCTCCCACCTACCCTGGTGTGTTTGTTTCTTCCTCCAGGTGCTTTTAGGTACGATAAATTAATTAGGTGTTTTAATTTTGTTTCTTGAAGTGCTCCTTCATTTAAAAATAATAGATTTTTATCCCCATTTGCTAGATGATAAATATATCCATTGAAAAATTTGCCTACTATAAGGAAGTTATGCTGTTATAAGTGAAGACCAATTAAAATAATAAGATTTAGTTTCCATTCAGGTTTTTGAAAAATTAATAGTGTATTTAAATTTTTTAAAGTATGTTCCCTCATCCTTCTGAAAAGGTAACATCTTATCTTACTTCCTTTGCTACTATATTGGTAAAATTAATTCTAGAAGAATACAGCCAGGTATGTTATATGATCTTAAATGTTTATTAAAAACAGGATAGGCTAATTATGACCTACAGGCAAAATCTGGTCTGCAGCCTGCTTTTATAAATAAAGATTTATTACAGCACAGCCATACCCAATTGTTTGTATTGCCTATAACTGCTTTTATCATAGATCAGAGTTAAGTGGTTGCAACAGAGACAATATGTCCCTCAAAGCTGAAAATGTTTACTGTCTGGGTATTTGTAGGAAAAGTATGTTGACTTTTGTTTTAAAGCATGTAGCAAAATTATTAATTACTAATTCAGATTTCCCAGTTGCTTAAAAAATACGAATTTTGAAGGGCAACTCTTCATTAAGTTCTTTAATTCCTGCAGGTTGAGCAATAGCGGCTTCATCCTATGCTGCTGTAGCCAACATAGCTAAACCCCCTTGGGACTCTTCCAGTAGGGTGGAGTGGAACAACACTTCCTCTCCATCCTCTAGTCCAGAAGAGAATGACCTAATGGCTTTTTAAAAAACAACTTCAAAACCTTTCAATGTAACTTCAAAATATTATTGAACTTCACAAGTTTGAAAGGTCAATCATGAAATCAGTCAGTAGAGTGTTTTTTATAGACATCATTTTCACATTCTGATTTCTGATTGAACCCATTGTCTCCTAGACTTTCTATATCCCCAGAGGGATGGGTGGTGCTTGCCTTATTCTATGTTTCTACCTTGAAATTTAGCAGATACCTGCTATGTGGGCAATCAACAATGGCTTATTAAATGAATGAACCCCAGTCTACTTAACCTGGCTATCTATGTTTTTTTGCAGTTCCTTGTAATTTAAAATATTTAAACATTATGTTTCTTACTAATTTTACCTAAGGTATTAAAAATCAGGGCACTCAGGTGCTCCACTCATAAGTGGACCTGATCATGCATGTCCGTGCTTATTTATTTTTTAATTGGGCAGGTACCTTTTATTCTTCAGAGTGATCATAATGACCTGCAAGAGATTATGGTGGCACAATGGCCATGCTTGATGAAAACCACTGTGGCCCTGATGGCTGCTTCTGTCTTGGATTTGGCTTTCCTCACAAAGAGAATAGTGGCATGTCCACAAGACTGTATCATTCACAGTCAGACTTGACTTAGCTGTTCCAATTCTAGGGAAAATTCTAAAATCATACTGGTTTTGGAATGTAATTTTGAGTGTAGATGTCTAGTGTAGTGAAAATGCTTTGAAAAAAATCTTAAAGCATTTGCAAGAATAGTATTTAAAAACATTTGCAACTACAAAGCAAAGAAATTGTAAAGTTCTTTAGCTCCCACATCTCACTCTGCCCTTGATCCTTCTCTGCTGTTTATTCCACCTATCTAACTGATGATGTAAAAAACTTCCGCTGCCTTCCCTTCACAACCTTGCCAGTCAAGTGCTTAGCCTAGAGCCTAGCACAAGAGAAGTACCCGCTGTTGTTGCAGTAGTTGTTTTCATGACTTTGAGTTAGAGGAGAGTTTGCCTCAAAAGGTGTTTGGGCATAGGCCATGAAATAGATAAAAAGAAGGTTGGCAATTAATGAAGGGAAGCAAGCAGAATAGAGGCTTTGTTCATGATGTTAGTTACAGCCAAAGTCAAGTCAACCAGGTAAGACAAATATGTTTATCTACCCATATTTTCACTTATTCATTTTTTTTCTTTTTGCCACACTGAGGTCTACATATGTATCGTCAAAATCTGATTACACAGAAAAATTATTTGGACTAAGCTGATGGTAACTAAATCAAACATGTCACCTTTTAATTTTGACATCCATTTTTGAAGATCTGGCAGATACGGCCTTATAGTCTTGAGACACTATATACTACTACTCAGTGGATCCTCCCGGGTAGATAAATAAAAGACACCATGCTGGCCCATTGAGCCTGTCATGTGAAGGTAGTTTAATGCATTCTCTATAGGTTAGTGTCACAGATAGAATCCTTGGCAATGGAGTGTGACATAATTTGTACATTCTACACACACACACACACACACACACACACACACACACACACACGATATCATTGTGCCACTGTGAAATGGAATCCTTCCTCCTAATAACATCACTGTGTTCATTATAAATAGAAGGAAAAACAGAGGACAAATTTATATAATGTTGACTAACAGAGACAGTTTTCATATTAGTAAATACCATCAAAGCATCTTATGGTTCACAATTTCTGTTCACTTTCATGTTCTAGTAAAGACCACACCTTGTTAAGAACATAGTGCTTTTAAGGCAGAAACTGTACATTGTTATGTAAATGTAGCAAGAGGAGGTGAAATTTGTCTCCTATAAAATCTCTTCGATGACAGCTAAGGGGGGAGAGAGGGGAGGGAATGGAGGGATTGAGCAAAAAGGAAAAAGGACTCATGGACATGGACAACAATGTGGTGATTGCAAGGCAGAAGCAGGGTGTAAGGAGACTAAATGGTAATGGAAAAAAATACAATTCAAAAAAAGGAAAAAAAAATCTCCCAAACTATGAATGATGGTAACCTAAAGTGACCCCTCTCCCAGGAGTGATGTTTCAATAGTCCTTAAGCTTCAGAAGAACCTGTGATGGTGGAATTTTAGGCATGAGAGGGTTAAGGGGAAATTTTTTTTTTGGATGTTTGTATGGATGTACATTCATAAACCTTCCCAAATATTCTCTAAAAATCATCACTTTTTAAAATTTTTCTCATATAATTTCTATTTTTTTAATGCCCCCCCCAATAGTGCATCAAAACCTATAACTCTGACTGGCACCTTGTGAACTATAAATATGAAGATTACTCAGGAGAGTTTCGACAGCTTCCAAAGTGAGTAAATGGCCAGACTGCATAAGGTAGTGTTATGCACATAAGGAAAATTCTTTGTATCAAAAATGTTTAGGGAGGTATGTAACTTCTATGCAATCAAAGTAATTGGAAAAAAATATTTCTAGACCCTTTGTGTGTATATGAGGTAGCTATTGTTTACAGGGCATTTGATAATAGGACTCAATCCCGTACTCTGGGCTTGGCAGGTGGTAATAATTGCATAGATAGTTTAATTATGTCCAGTGATTCTTTCAGGGTAACACGGATAAAACACAAACAGGTGAATTTTTTTCAGTGAGAAATAGAAAACAAAGAAAATATGAGAGTATTGAAAATGCTACATTGTGTTTTCTCTTAAAAATTTTTTTAAGAAACAAAAGTTTTGTTTTATTTCATATTAAATAAAAAAATTTGTTTCTTTTTTTATTTAATAAATTGTCTGTGAAAAGTATATCACAGAACAAGCATTTCCCAAATTTCTTTACCTCCTTTAAAGTATTAACTCATTGTAGAATACACCAAAAGCAAGTGTGTTTAGGTTGCTGAGTGGTGGTTAAAGTGAATAAAAGATAGGTAGGTCTCACACTGAGAGGATATAAACATGGTGCATCCTTAAATGATGCAGTTAGCAAACTTAAGTATAGTTGATTATAGATTGAAAGAAAATAATGATGGATTGTTTCAAAAGTAACCATTGCCAATGAAAATTTTACTTGAGAACCTATTAATATATTTTCTTTGTGTTTGTTGCATCTATTGGTTTAATTTGTTTATACTATTCTTGGTGGACCTAGCTATTTGTTTATTCTATTTGTGTGGTTCAGCCACTCCTTAAGAATGTTTAGCCAACTTCCCAAATGCCTTTTTTAAACTTCGGCCAAGAATACTCCCTTCCAGCATTATCTTCTCCAGATGAGTATGTCTCTTCTATACTTATCCAGTACTCATGTAGGGATTTTAAAATTCTTCCCATTTGATCGGATCACTTGATAGCCTTGTTTGCACCATTCTCATAGCTACAAGAGGATAGACTGTGAGTTGTATAGTACTTACTGTATGATATAGTTTTACTGCTGGTAGAGTTTACTTTTTGGCATTAAAAAGAGTTTCTGATTGTGATGAGGATGAGAGGGAAGATTGTAACAGTGAATAAGACCATGGATTCTGTTCTATGTCTGCGTATGTCATCTCCTTGCTCTGCTCCCTAAGTCTCAGTTTCCTCGTGTATTAAGTGGTCTTAACATCAGTCCCCACCATCTAAAGGACTAGAGGAGATAACACTTGAAGTACACAGCACAGTGCTTATCACATAACTATTTAATAAATGCTAGCCACTATTGTTACTGTCTTGTTTTTGCTGTGAATGCCATTATCTAAGATTGTGGTTCCTAATACATTTAAATGTAATAACCTCATTTTCCATGTTTTCTTTTAAATTTCATATTGAAAGTTATTCTATCAAGACTTTGTTTATTAACAAACATTCCCATTCTGAAATACGTGTGTAACTCCGAACAAGCTATTCCATCTTTTCTACATAGCTTTTGAAGTTCTCTTAACTCCACTATGAAAAACAGTAGCATTTATGGTTTTCATTCTTTATCTGAGTGGGCCAGTTTTGGATTTGTTAAATGCCAGTTCCTCTGATGGGAGAAGAAATACAGCATCTCTCCATGGATTAGGTAATTATAAAACAAGTTTCTTTTCTTCTCTTTAAAGCAAAGTGGCCAAGTTGGATAAACTTCCTGTTCATGTCTATGAAGTTGATGAGGAGGTTGACAAAGATGAGGTAGGATTATCACTCACAGATTAAAAAAATTATTTATTTTACAGACTTAGAAGATTAATTAGAAAATTACCAACATTTCACCAAAACAGGAATTGGAATGTTTCTTAAAACAGGGGAAAAACTTAAAAATATGTTGTTGATTGATTGAAATAAGGTTTCTGTTTCAACTTAACTACTTAGCATGCATAGCATGTTCTTCTGGTCCTGTTTATTTATTCTGAGATCATTTTCAAAGGCCTGGATGAGATTTAGCTACACTGTTAAAAGATAGGAAGATTACTTAGACCTTAAGTTTATATTATTTTTTAACAGGATGCCTTAAAACAAACTGGTAGCCAGTAAATTTTAAATGGCTGTTTTTTCAGTGATTGTTTTGAATGAAGTATTACAGAACAGAAGCTCTGATTTTAACAACACACCACCTCTACTATTGGAGAAATGGTTATGGCTGGGGAAGTATACAAAAAGAGTAGGGTGTGAAGGTGACTATGTCCGCTAAGCAAAGGAAACCTAATAAAATGTTAGCGCTGTCCATCTCTGCATTTCTTTCTCCTCTAGTCTCTATTGGATACTTCATTTGGAGTTTAGTTTTTCTTTTCCTTTTTAAATCATCAGCTAAGCCAATAACACCAGTCACTCAAGAACTTTAACAATGTCCTTGGCGGCAAATTGTTTTAGAAACCACTTTTTAAATAAGTCTGGGAAGAGGAGGCAGTCATTCAAAATGAAAAACAAAATATCAAAGACTTGATGCTGATTAATAGTAAGAGGAGGGCCAATTAAAATAATGCATGTAAGGACACACAAAACAAAACTGTAAAATCCCAGACAGTTATTTCTACTTTTGTTAGTAATAACAATAAAACCACCAATATTAATATTGAGATGGTCTAAAATGAAGCATAAAATGAGTCTTTTTGCCATTGTCTGCTTGGTTACAAAAATAAGGATCATAATCAGAGACTAGATTTAGGAGATATGAGCTGGGTAACTTGACACTGTGTGGCCTTCTTTTCTCAGGATACCTGCTGAAGTGTGTATTGGGCACAGCCTTAAAGGGGGAAAGCAGTGACAAGAGAATACTCTTAAAGAGTGTGGAAGGGTGTGGTAGGAGACTTGCTGGATTGTGTATTTGTGTGTGTATATGTTTCATCGCTTTGTTTATTATGTGTACAAATATATGCCTATATTTTTAGCAATTGCTGGCAGCACCGCCCCCTTAAACCCAGATTTCAGAGCTTGGGGTCAGAACTTGAAGGAGCACGTTTCTTTACTTTTCTAGCTCTTCCTTTTGTATTCTAACTCTCCTTCTTTCCTCTATCTCTGTTACATTCTTCCTGCCCTTTCCTTCTTTTCTGTTGCCCCATCGTGTTACCTCTTCTTTCTTTATTGCCTCACATTTCCTTCCTTCCTTTCTTTGTTTACCTCCCTGAACTAAGCCTCTGGGAAGTTTTCCAGGAATTTGCTTTTGTTCTTCAACTATAGGGGAGTGTAATTTGAAAATATTTTTTTATGAAACCAGGCAAGACCTTACAACTTGAGTGGTCAAGTGTGGTATGTACTTTCTGTAGCTCATTAAACACTTAAAAATAAAAAAGGAGTGAAACTAGCTTTGCCTTTTAATGGACTAGAGTTTTCAGAAATTTAGGCTTGTCCCTCTCTTTCCCTGTCAAGTGAACTCTAAAGTGACTTATAGATCTTAGGGTCAACTGGTTACTCCAGTACAGGAGCAAAGGCCAACCTGACACCAAATCAATGATTTTCCCATAAACCAGACTCATAGCAAATAACATAGGTAATAATGGGAGATTGATTGCAGAGTTTTCCTTCTCTCCTAGGATGCTGCCTCCCTTGGCTCTCAGAAGGGTGGAATTACCAAGCATGGGTGGCTGTACAAAGGCAATATGAACAGTGCGATAAGCGTGACCATGAGGGTAAGGAGGCCTATCACTCAGCTTGCTGTAGGTCTTAGGAATAATGCTCAAAATTAATGGGCATGCTGCTTTTCCTGACAAAAGTGACATTGTCTAGTTAGTAAGATGCCACCCTTTGGTTAATATGATTGACCCCCATTTGTACAGACCCCTCCATCCACTTACCCTTGTCACCCTCTCGTGACCAGTGTGAAGACAGATCATCATTGGGCTGGTATGAAGGTATGATTGCTAACACAGGCTTTTTTCTCTGTATTAATTACGGAAATGATATTTGGTGTCTCATAGAGCGTCACTGACATCAATCACTGAGAGTATAAACCTAAGCAGTTTTGCGGAGGTCTACTGTGACAAAGTCAAGTAAAGTAAAAATTGAGGACTAAAGGGAAAACAGTTATATTGGAAGAAGTTGGCAAAGAGAAAAGTAAAACCAGTGTAAAATCTACTCAGGAGAGAAATATAGAATAAGAGAAAGGAAAGGACCAGTAATAAAGAGAAAAGAAATAGTGGTAGGGTAGACAGGGAGATAAAAATTAAATTGGGGAAAATGCTGACTGTCCTAATCCTGAGGCTGGAAAATCATTCAGTGTCCTGAGGCAAAGAATAGTTTCTGTTCTCCGTGAGCAAAAAACTCTGGGGATTTGGAAAGTGTCTACCCCTCTGAACTGCATCCCACATTGAAGCTCACTGCATTGCTTTTGGGTAGTTATGTAATACCTGAAATTCTGTGGGTGAGAAAAATGACCCGTGGATATTAAGTGAATCACCTCCTTAGAATTGAAATGCAGTGAAATTATTAGATGTGAAAGAGAGTCATAACTCACCCAGTTAACCCGGGGCATTGACCAGAGTTAGATTTCTTTTGGAGAGAACTAAACTGGTTTTTACATATGTATTGAATTGTGAGTTATTGATATTGTGACTCTTTTAATTTTGAAACAATAGCTGTGTGTGTATTTTTCTCTTAGTCATTTAAAAGACGGTTTTTCCACCTGATTCAACTTGGTGATGGATCCTACAATTTGAATTTTTATAAAGATGAAAAGATCTCCAAAGAACCGAAAGGATCGATATTTTTGGATTCCTGTATGGGTGTGGTTCAGGTAAATATGGAAAGAGGTTATCAAGTTTCCTTATTTGTAAAAGTACTGTCTGATTTAAGCAAACACTTCCAAACATGGCAATTTTATGGTAGAAATATAGTAGCTGACTTTAAATGGGAACAGGCTTGTTTTTCATCATTTTGGAAGATGGCAGGTATAACACTGAGGCAAAATTGTTGTAGCAGCACAAGTGCTCTTATGCACAAACTCTTGTGTTCAAAACCTGACTAGCTACTTTTTAGCTGTGTGACTTTGGATGGGCTATTACCTGAAGTTCTTTCATTTGCAAAATTTGGATAGTGATAATTTTTCCTTAATAGACTAAATGACAGGATTGGATGAGCTAACTTGGAAATATTTAGAACAGTTCTTAGCGTCTTAGTGCTAACTTTACCAATGACAGAGTAGTATGTTGGTCAAGGGATTGGGTTTCAGGACCAGACTGAGTTCAAATCCATGCTCTACCACTTACCAACTCTGTAACCTTGGAGATGATATTTAACCTCTCTGAGCCTCAGTTTCCTCCTTTGTTAAATAGGGATAATAATAGTACCAAATATAGTTTCTGAGAAGATTAATTAATAGATGTAAGAACTTGTGACAGTGATGGCACATGGTCAATATTAGGTATTTTTGTCATAGTACTGGTACAGGTGTAGAGTTATTCTTAAAACTTATTTTTGATTATAATATCTAATACATAAATATACACATATTATAAATATCAGACAATACAGATTGTGGACATTCCTGTTGGCTCCAGTTGCTCCCTTTCCCAAAGAGCTGTTTTTACCAATTTGGCATTCTCCTTCTATACCTTTATAGAATTGTCTTTGAAAGTAGCTTGCCTGTTTTCCCATCTATTCATCCATTCAGCCATCCACCTGCCATTTTTCAGGAAGCTCTAAAGTGTGTTTGGTAGCAGAAAGGTAAACAAGGAGTAAGGGTAGGGAGGAGATAAAGTGGAATTAAGGTAAGGAAAAAGTATATGTTATGAAGACCTAATACCAGCTTTGGGTGGGTAACAAACTGGGCTCTACACTTTCTAGCTTGGAGACCCATTCAATCACACAGCACACAGATACAATCTAATTAGTCAGAAACTGCCTGAATGATCTCAGAATGGAGATCATTCTGGCATTTTCTCTTGAGGGCACTCAGAGATAGGGCCCTGTGTGATTAATGAACAATCTCCTTGACAATTCCTCATAATAGATACAGTCACCATTATCAGAGAATCTCTCGTAAAATGACTCTGTGTTGGTTAATGATATCAGCCTGAAGCTTGATTCTACAAGAAAGGTTGTTTTGTGCCAGCGTGGTTAATGTTAGACACACAGCTCTCTGGTTTGACCCACAAGTATACTTGTTCATGTGTTCATGTTTACTTTAAATTGCATTTTCATTTAATTGTTCATTTGATTTAAACAAACAGTGCAAAAAGGTAGCACTGAAGGCACATTCCTGCCTCCCTCACCACCACCTCACCCACTCCCCACTTCCTAAAATGATGGTTTTCAATTATTTTCATTATTTTTTCTGTGATTTGTTTTCATATTGCTAGACAAGCAGTGTTTATGCTCTTCATTCATAAGTCATGGACATTATGTGCTGGTGATAGGATTTTTAGCTCCTGTCACCCTCCTCTCTGCATTAATCTGGACTACAGCTGACCCTTGAACAACCCAGAGGTTAGGAGCACCATCCACCTGCATAGTCAAAAATCCATGTATAACTTTTCACTCCTCCCAAATTTAACTACTTATAGCCTGTTATCATCCAGAAGCCTTACTGATAACAAAAACAGTAGATTAGCACATATTTTGTATGTTACACATATGTACTGCATCTTTACATTTATTTATATTTTTCTTGACTGAGAATGGTGCCATGTCTGTTCTCTAAGTGTGCGCAGAAGTTTTTATAAATTTTAACTTTTATAATATATTTCTGAATATTTTACAGTAGTAAATGATAAAATAGACCAGTATCTACATAGGTTTTACTCATTTATGTCATACCTTTTTCTGAATTTTCAATGTTTCCAGGCTATGCAATTCATCTGCAAGTTTTTTCATGCAGTCACAAATATAAAAAAAAAAATTTCCAAAGTATCTATTGGAAAAAATCCACATATAAGTGGACTCATGCAGTTCAAATCCGTGTTGAAGCATCAGATGTAATTGCTTTCTTAGCGTCAGCACAGCCGCCATCCTGAAAATTCCCTTTACCTTCTTCCCTGTATTGGATTCCTATTTTGAGGATCCTATGTTGTCTTCTTGTTTTACTTTCTTGCAGTAGCTTACAGTAGCTTCCTGAGTAATCATATGTAAGATGTTAATTTTTTGAGGGTTAGCATATCTGCAAATATCTTTATTTTTACATTTATACTTGACTAATAGTTTGGCTATATGTAGAAATGCAAGGTAAAATTTACCTTAGAATTTGAAGGCATTTCATTATCTTCTGGGTTCTCATGTTGTTTTGGAATCTGATGTTATTCTTATTCCATCTTCTTTGTGATCTTCTCTTTATCTCTGGTGGCCAGAAATTGAGGTTTTTATGCCCGCCCCTCCCTCATTCCCTCCCTCCCTCCCTCCCTCCCTTCCTTTCTTCCTTCCTTCCTTCTTTCCTTTCCTCCTTCCTTCCTTTGTAAGCTTTTTGTTAAGGCAAAACATATAAATAGAAAATATAATGAATGTGAGACTGAATTTTTACTAAATTTGGATCTCTTTTGTGCTGAGAGCTTTGTTCTCATTCTGAAACCTGTCCTGCATGTTCTAGCCACCTGGGCCTTCCTGACCTTTTGGTCAGTCTCTTTGGCTCAGGGAGACTGCAAGACTCTAGGTTTCCCTCCCTGTGCCATGATCCAGATATTGCCTCCAGGCAAAAAGCTAAGATGGTTATAGGGCTTACTTCATTTATTTTCTATCAGGGATCCCAGGCCTGCCCTCCCTGTTGTCAAATATCTGAAAATAGTTTCATCTAGTTTGTCCAGTTTTCTAGTTGTTACGATGAGAGAGTTAAGTTTGTACTCTATTACTTCATCATGGCCAGCAATAGAAGTTGGGGGTCCAAACTATGTTTTCAGGCACCAAACAGGTAATTAAGTCAAAGAAGGAGACTGAGTGTAAAACAATAGGGAATACTTGTAACTGTGACAAACTGGAGGACAAGTGGTCCCATTTAAGGAGGACTGATGCTACTGGGTGGAAATACCATCTCAGGGTTGCCAGATCATCAGGAAAGGCAAAAATATAAAATTTTAGTTAAATCTTGTTCTTAATTATTGGTAACTGATTTAAAAAATAAACAACACTGTGCAAGATCAAAAAAAGAGTGTGTGTGTGAAATACATGAAAGTGTATTAAGTGTACTTGGACCCTGGATCAAGAGTATAGCATCATTTAGCATTCACTGAAAATTATTATGCAGCAACAGCTAATTGGCATGTAGATGTCTCCCCAGCCTCACCTGAAAGCTGTCACTGTAGAAACCAAATTATATCAGAAAGCATGTTTATTCACAGTGTAAAGTAAGGAATACCAGAGTGAATTGTCAATGATGGCAAACTAACTTCTTGTGTTGGATTCCCAAGTAGGAGTTTGATTTAGATTTTTAAGTTGAGAGACTTTTAAAGTTACTTTTTAGTTGAATTTTCTGGCATTTGGAAAATAGGAAGTAATTATTTTCTTTGTAAGAGTTTTTTGCTAGTCATCAACACAGTGTATAGGTAATTTATAAGCACAGCATCCTTGGTTTATCATTCAGTCTCTGGAGTACATTTTAGAATCTAAGATTTAGAATCTAAATTTAGATTTTGACTTCAGTGGATGTCTCATCTTTTTTTTTTTTTTTTTTTTTTAGATGTTGCTGATGGTGTTTTCCATTTAATGAATTGTATCTAAGGCTTAAAAAATTTAAAATTATTTGTTTTTATCCATGTCCATTTGTAAGCTAAGATCCAAAAGTTGTGGTTTAAGTGTTTTGGGGTTTTTAAAAATTATATTCCTATTGGACATTATTAACAAATTAGTTGATTAATGCTGTGAGTTCAAAGAAATACCTAAACTAAAATTTTAAAATGGACCTGAATTGAATCCAGTTTAGAATGTTAAACTCTAAAAGTACTTCAGGTGCTTGAAGTGATTATCCTTATTTTGTAGATAAGGAAACAGGAATAATTCAGAATCAAGATCTAATGTTCTTTCCCTGCCCCCCTTTAACTTTTTACTTTCATAATCGAGGAATGTAGTGGAAACAAAATTGATTTCACTTCCAGACTTTTACTCTGATTCCTTCCTTGAAGTGAAGTGAAGTTTAAGTGAGGTCCAGGGCAGCAATTAGGGCACCCACAGCAGGCAGTCTGTACACAGTAGTTTTTATGGCTTTGCCAGAAGCGACACATTCCTTCATGTTTCTGAGAAGTACACTGAGATGCCTTTGGGGACAGCTAACCAGCTAGAATTTTAGTGGGCAAGGGGTCTGCTCTGCCCTCCACAGGTTGGCAGGAGTTAGTGGTATCATGTCCCTCGGCCTCTACCTACAAGGAATCTTGCACCATGGTCTTCCAAGTTTAACCTCTATCTAAGGCAATGACTGGGGGGTGATTTTAGCCCCAGGGGATATTTGGTAATGTCTAGAGACATGTTTTGATCTTCACAACTGGAGGAAATGCTACTGGCATCTAGTGGGTAAGGCCAGGGATGCTGCCAAACCACCTATAATGCACAGGACAGCCCCCTCAGAACAGAATTATCACCCAAAACATCAGTAGTGCAGAGGTTAAGAAAACCTAGTCTACGGCATGTTCAAGTTTCATCATTTAATGCACGCAAACTACTGTGTTTATAATTTGAGTCAGACACCCTTCCCCAGGCATAAATACCACCGGCATAAAAGAAGGGGAATGTAGACACAACGTCCCAATAACTTTTGGGACTCATACGTGATGAGGGGTTTGGAGATAAGGAAGTCAAACATATTGACAGATAATGATTTGCTTTTAAAAACATAATACCACACAATAGTTCATTTAAAAAAAAATTGAAGCTAGGGGAATTGAAAATGTTCAATGAAATTTCATTCATTCAAGTATTTTTCAAGAGCCTATTATTTACCAGGCAGTGTTCTGCAAATGGGGATTAGCATTGAATAAGAGAAATCTCTGCCCTGAGGAGCTACCATTCCATTGGAGGGGACAGACAGCAAATAAGATGACTCTGTATAATATGTAACATGTCAGATGGAGAAAATAAAGCAAGGAAGGTAGATAGTGATGGGGTTTTATGGGGAGGGGACTTGATCTGAAATGCCAGTGTGATAGCACCCATCAGCAAATAATAAAAGGAAAAACTTTAAAGGCTGTTCCAATTCTTTATAAATATGTCTTGTTACCCTCTTCCATTTCAGAACAACAAAGTCAGGCGTTTTGCTTTTGAGCTCAAAATGCAAGACAAAAGTAGTTATCTTTTGGCAGCAGACAGTGAAGTGGAAATGGAAGAATGGATCACAACTCTAAACAAGATTCTCCAGCTCAACTTTGAAGCTGCAATGCAAGAAAAGCGAAATGGAGACTCTCATGAAGGTAGGTGGGTCTAGCTTCCCCAGGTACAGGCACATTCTGCGGGTATCTATTATTTTTGCCAGAGACTAGCGAAAGTAGACATATATTGCACATGTACATGAGAGGTGAGACAGATGTAAGCTTTTTACATACAACTTGTCAAAAAAAGATTTTATCACATTATGATTTATTACCTTAACATCATTTCTATAAGGAAATCATGTAATTGAAAGAACCACAGCTTTGGAGGCAGAAAGGAAGACCTGAGATTGAATCCCAGCAGTAAACATTATTTTTCAGCTGTGAGACCTTGGGCAGGCTGTTTACATTTTCTGAGTGTTGGTTTACTCACCTGTAAAATGGGAATTAAAAAATGGGATGTGCTGGTCCATGGAAAGATTAAATAAGATAATGTATGTCTAGTACCTAGCATAGAGTCAATGCTTAAAATACTAATTATAGTTACTACTGTTACCATTAATCATATCCTTTGGAATTTCCAAAGCAAAGATAAGGGGCAGAAGCCTTGAATGACATTGGTGGGAAAATTCTGGCCATTTTCTTTACAGTTCATGTGTGGGGTTTTTTTTGTTTGGGTTTTGTTTGTTTGTTTGTTTGGGCAGATGATTCTCAACTCTGTGTCTTAGAAATGCCTAGATACTTTTTAAAAATATTTTTTTAATTTCCCTGGGCCATATGACTCAGTTGGTTGAAGCATTGCCCCATAACCAAAAGGTTGCAAGTTTGATTCCTGGTCAGGGCACATACCCAGGTCACAGGTTTGATCCCTGGTCCAAGCATGTGTGGGAGGCAACCAATCAATATTTTTCTTTCATATCAATGATTCTCACCTGTCCTCTCTCCCTTCTTCTCTCTCTAAAAGCAATGAAAAAAATGTCCTTGGCTGAGGAGATATATATATTCTTTCATCTGTCCCATCAAAGATTCTAAAGATTCTGATGTAGTTGGCCTGGGGACACCTGACTTTTAGCACATCTGATGGGTATGGCCCTATGGGCCTATGTTCACACCTAGTACCAGTTCTAATCAGACAATATCCATGCTGTACCAGCTATCAAATGTTGAACTCTCACCGTTGGGCCTGGGTATCAGAATATTTTTTTGAAGCTCCAAGGTGTTTCTATAGAGCAAGCAGAGTTGCGTTCAAGGGCACATAAGAGAAATGAGCTTCCTTCTCCTCTGTTTTTCAAAAAATATATGTTCAACTACAAATGACTCAAGTAATCTGTTTTGCCATTTTAGATGATGAACAAAGCAAATTGGAAGGTTCCAGTTCCGGTTTAGATAGCTACCTGCCTGAACTAGTCAAGGTAACATCATCTTAAATTTTCTGCTCTTCATAGAATGATATTGAAATATGAGGGGGGACCCCCAGAAAAAAATTTATTTATTAAAAAATGTGTATTTATTTTTACATGTTTAAACTTCAGTCACCTTCAAAGTATTCTCCATTTGATGCAATACACCTCTCGAGACATTTTTTCCACTGCTCAAAACAGTTTTTGAACTTGTCAATTTTGATCCCTTTTAGTGCTTCTGCTGTTTTTTTGTTTCACCTCTTCCACGTTGACGAAACATTTCCCTTTGAAGACTTTTTTTCATGCTGGAAAACAAAACAAAAAAATTTCTCTGGGAGAGATTAGGTGAATAGGGAGTATGGGACACAGGGCTCATGCTATTTTTGATCAAAGACAGCTGGACACTCAGCTAGGTGTGGGCAGGTGTGCTTGTAAATCACCCATCATGAAATGGACTAATGTGTTGAAAGTGTCTTCAAAAAATTCACTGAAGCCAAACCAGCTTCTCACAGCAACTTCAGCAGGTACACTGTCTCAGATGGGTTCCTAGAATATTGACCTAGTGGGTAAAGCCTGTACTACAAGGGATCTGCCCTCCAGAAGATAAATTTAGGGTACTTTTGGGTACCCCCTCCTATTTCTTGTTTCATCTGTTAAAATGATTAGCAGCTACATTGTAGTAAGTGACATTCTAGTTAGTGCTCTTTCTTTTCTAACTTGAATATGTGCTGAGGTGAAATACACTACTGACCAGAATCAGATTTCAGGCTGTTTTCCAGAAGGTGCCTTACAAAGTATTGTTTTTCTTATTATTCTTTACGTCAGCAATTTTTCAGCCAGTGTGCAGCAAGAATTTTTAAAACATGTAACACCTGACTGTGTAGTCAGGGGCACCAACCTCTTTTCCCTTAGATTGTGGAAATACAAAAATGACAACAGTGAACACAACAATAGCCAGCTGGTGTGAATCAATCAAAATTATACCTATTTTTGTGTCAGATCAGCAAAAAATATATTTTTTGTTGTCTGCAGAAATTTAGTAATTAGTTTGTGGGCCATGAAATGAAAAAGGTTGAAAATTGCTAGTTTAAGTGTATTTCCCTCCATAATAGTAATATTGCATTACAAGTATTAAAGAAATAACCAAAATACACAGGTAGATGTTCCCATGTTAACAAAGTACTTACTGTGTTCACATATCTGCAGCCCTTATTCAAGTTAATAAACACAATTTAAAAGATGATGGATCCGTGTGAGTCTTGCCACAAAACCAAAGAGGGGTTGCCTGTGTTATATAAATTATTGGTTATTCTGAATCCAAAAAAAAAGGTACACCTGACATTTTTTATAATTTTGAGAAACTTACAAGTTACTGAAAAGCACAAAGAGCAAAACAACCATATTCCTCCCTCCCAGATTCAACACCTGTTACTGTATTTTTAGCTTTCATTTTTTTAAGGAAAAAAACACCAGTTATAAAGTTCTTTTTAAACATCATCCTTATTCCATTCCCTTCTTTTCTTGCAACTTCGATCAGAGACAGCCACTATTAAGAGTTTTCTGGGATTCCTGCCATTTAATTTTTATATCTTTACCAACATACCTGTTATAATGATATATGTGGTTGTGTTTTGTATGTTTAAAATGTGATATAAATACTAATGTATTATTCTGCACTTGCTTTTATTTTTAATTCAGCATTGTTTTTGATATTTATCCAAGTTGGTATATAGAACTAGTTCAACCCTTTTATTGCATTGTGTAAACATTTTATATTAGTTGTTCTGTTATTTTTCTATTACAATGTCACAGTGAATATTCTACATGTCTCCTTGTGTGCATCTATGCATGATTTCCTTTTTAAATGAAAGAAATATCTTTGTCTTCTCTAGATCTTTATATTCTTACTCTGTTACTGCCTTTTTATTCTTTTTTTCAAGTACAATGAAATAGAGACTGTACACACCCACATCTCAAACACTGTAATAGAAGACATGGTTTCTCTATATACTAGCATTGACCTCCATTTTAAACAACATGGTTCTTCTAAAATATAAAGCCTCCTTCCCAGTCTAGGACTTGAGAATATTGTTTTTCTTACGACTGTACTGTTACCACAGTATCTTTTCAGCACCTGCGTATTACAGCTAATTTTAGTGCTACCATTGTAACCACCTTTGGAAGAATTTTGGTGTGTGTGTATGCTTTTTCTTGTTATAAACTTCTGTGTATCATATTTTACATTGAGATTTTTTTCTGCATGTTTGGGGGTTCATAATTTCTTAAAGCAAAAGATCTGTTGAAACAGATAATATATGCAATGCAATCTAGAATTCAAAAAGTAGCTTTCCACGCTTACTGTGTGAACAGAATGGATACCTAGGAGAAGAGTCATATTATTTGAGCCTAATGTTGATTAATTAGAAATCTGTATTTTTTTTTCCTGTGAAGACATCCAGGAGTTGTACACTTCTTTTTTTTCTCACTGCCTGCTACTATCCAGCCAGCATAATTAAAAATTCCTTGATCCTAAGACCTAGGGAAATTTTAAAAATAAAAAAATGTATACATACACATTTTTAAAAAAATCTAGGTCACATAATGTTGACCTAAAGAAGCCTGATACAAAGCCTGACGTGTGTCTTTGTGTGTCTGTATGTATATGTGTATATATATTCTTTTTAAAAAATATATGTACAACATATTTGGAGCTATTTTCAAACTGGGTAAAATCAATTTAATTGTTTTCAACCACCATTCTTTTTGTTTTATTTTTTATTTTTTTATTGAAATAGAACTTACATAAAGTGCTCAAGTATAATGCTAATTATGCAGCTTGATGGATTTCACATTTGTGCATCCATATAACCACCACCCAGATCTCAATATATAAAACATTTCCAGCATCTCAGTAGACTGTCCTGTAATCCTCTCGAAGCTGATGTTCTCATTCTTTTGACCTCTATCATTGCAGATTTTATATTAGCTGCTTTGTTATTTCCAATTTTTTTTCTATTAAATGTCACAGTGAATATTCTTGTACTTGTCTCCTTGTGTGCATCTATGCATGATTTCTTTTTTAAATGAGTGAAGTATTTTTGTCTTCTCTAGATCTTTATATTCTTACTCTGTTACTGCCTTTCTATTATTTTTTTCAAGTACAATGAAATAAAGACTGTACATACCTATTCTCAACTATTCTAGACCTTCCTATAAATGGAATCATACAGTATGCACTCTCTATCAGGCTTCTTTAGCTCAACATTACGTGAACCAGATTTTTTTTAAAGGATAGAATTGAATAGAGAATATTAAAGTATATTGCTCTTAATGATGATGGATATTACTTTATAGCTATAGAGATAGATACAGATGTTGTGTGTGCATTGGGTTGTGATATAAATGTAATTTTTACTGTGGGTCATGGTAAAAGCCAGACAGAAGGTAGTTTTTCAAAGGGAAAAAAAATAAAGAAAATTAAAATGTATTATCATTCACTCATCGTGCTGCCATCATGCTTGTAGGTGGCACATGTCCATCTGTGATGCCTATGTGGTGTTCAGTGTAAGGGGCCCAGGCTCTTTCTATGTCCAGCTCTTAGGTCCTTCACAATTCAGGGCTCCGAATATGATTGTGGTTTTGGCTGTTTACAGCCTTATCCAGTGTATCTGAGGTGGTAATCATTTGTAACTATTAAGAAAGCAGAAATAACTGGTCATTCTGATTATACAAAGAATGGATTCAGAGTGGGAGGGAGAGGGGAGAGAGGCTGGAGGTACAAATCTGTGCTAAGGGGGGAGTTTAATCAGGGGATTAAGAATAAAGAGGTCAGTACCAGGGAAGAAGGGCATAAGAAAGGTTCCAGCAGGTGATCAAGTCACAGTTAAGATTTTAGGGAAAGGACTAGAACATCAGGGGCAGGCAGGTCATTAAAGGTGTAACTTTCTGCTTTGCTTATCCTATTACCCTAGCTTTTGTTTCCCTCTGACTGAGACATGATCAAACAGGACATGAGTGATGGGAAGTTGTTTTGGTATAAAAATAACTGAAGTCTAATTCTAGAATATAATAGAGGGGGCCTTTACATGTGGTAGGGATGGTATGGACTTCAGCTTTCAGAATATTTTGTGTATTCTTAGCCCTTATGTTATTTGTATATTTACTACTGAAAATCATCATTTTATTAGACAACATGCTGGATTTACCCTAGAACATTTTCTTTTCTTCTATTTGTCTAATATGGAACCAAACATGTTTATTGTAAATTTAACAGCATTTCTAGTTTTTCGGAATACTTACTCTTACAAACATTTTTATTGAATAGGTAAATTATAAAATTAGTCAACCCTTCAAAGTCTAGGGTTAAAATGATCAGGTTATAAACCTTACCACTATTTGTTTAATAATTTCTTTCTCTGGTTACATTAAAATTAGATAACATTGTGATGTATATCACCTCGTTCTATAAAGGCTGTATGAAGAAAACCCTCCTGTTTCCACTTTATATTTTTTTCCTCCATATGTTTTCTATTTTTGAGCTTTTTTTTTTAACTCAGAGAACAGTAACTCACCTTAATTTAGTCCCCCCATGTGGTTCTGAAAGAGAAGTATTGTTTCATGTTAACCCAAAATTGCTCATATCCAACTAACTTCTTTTTAGCTAATAAACTTTTCTAGATGAATCTTCATAGTTGAGCATAGAATAAAGTGTGATGTCTCAAAATTGATAGTCTCATTGAGTTCGAGTAAGGGTCAGGCGGCCATCCTAAGCAGTATATGTCAGGACCCAAACAGTTTCACAGAAACAGTTGCTAATTTTTTAAAATTATATTTATTAATTATGCTATTACAGTTGTCCCAATTTTTCCTCCTTTGCCCTTCTCCACTTAGAAACCCCCATTCCCTTGTGCAATCCCCACACCATTGTTTATGGATCTTGTGTACAAGTTCTTTGGCTATTCCAATTCCTATACTGTACTTTACATCCCCTTTGCTATGCTATTGCTACCTAT